TTACCATACCAAGTAGTAGAGGAGGGAGACAACAACCTTGTGGTGAACCAGTAGAGAAATTTAAAAAGTCTAAAATCAAACTAACGCGATTAAAATCAAGTTTAAATTGATTAAGAAATTTATCGGCTAAGAGGTGTGGCTGGATAGTATTAAAAGCTGAAGAACAATCGATAAATAAGAGCCGAGCATGAGCTTTGGCCCCATCCAGATGGTGGTATAAGAAATTTAATACTTTTATTAGTCATAATTGTTTCAAAAAGATTTTCCACCCTTTCTTTCATCAAGGACAAAGCTTTATGTAAACGGTGACATTGATCTGTGGGAATTCCCTCGGCAGATAAAACGGCCTCAAAGACACAGAGAGGAGCTCAATGTCAGGCAGACACACTTGTCTACGAACGGTCACGTTTTTACACCATTTCTGATTTATATACAAACACACCCCTCCTCCTTGCGATTTCTGGGTAGCTCCGGGGTCTCGATCCAAACGTATGGGAACCCCGAAGCCATTTAATTCCAGAGAACAATCAGGGTCAGAATCCTTGAGCCAAGTCTCTGTGAATGCCATTAGACATGCATCCCTGTAGTCACGTAAATGTGCGACATTCAAATGCAGTTCATCTAATTTACTCCTCAGAGACTGCACATTAGCCAGGATTATTGATGGTAAAGGAATACGGTTGTACCGTATTTGCTTCCGCAATCGCTGACGTAGGCCTCCCTTCTTACCCCGCTTCCTTGCTTTGACTCTGTTAAAAACAAAAGTGCCCCTGTGATTACTGGATAATCCAGAGCTGGAAAACACTGGAGGGTGAAAAGAGTCCAAAGACGGGCCTGTTCCACCGAAGATCCAGAAGAAACTCCCGTGAGTATGTAATGTTTGTGAGTGACAAAGACTTCAAACAACTGTCAGGATTGCCAATAAAAAAAAAACATTCCACAGAGCACAAGCCGATGCTTAAGGATTTCCTCGGGCTCAAAATCAGACAACAACGTAACTAAAAAAAAACCTGACAACTGGCAGACACAGACAACCTGCTGGAGCAGTGTCCCCTTTCAATCTATGACCAATCACGAAATGACAAATAATTCAAAGCTTCATAAAAATTAGTTTGATTATTTTTTATTTATCAAATAACAGTGATTTCTATAATAACGTACGGCAAACTCTTCTAAACCAAATGGATCAACTGAGCTCCTCCACACACATTATCTGAGGAACAGGTCATAGAGACCCATGAAGAGCAATTACAATATAAAACTATAACTATAACACCAGTGCTGCAAATAAGCTGAGAGCAACGAGACAGGAAGTAAAAGTAATGCTGCCAAAGATCATTCATCTTGTGAATGCACGATCATCACAGCAGTACTTTGCACAGTGAAGGATCAAAAAATGATTTGATCCTCTGCTGAATTTGTACGTTTGCTCACTAAGAAACGAACAGGTCAGACGTTTATGGGAGTTTTATTTTAATGGGCGAGAGACGAAAATGCACAAAAGATTTAAACTGATTTGCATTTCTCTGATTGAAATAAATATTTTGTCCACCAACAAAACATGACCTACTACTTCCCAGAATTTTGGCTTCTGCAGATTGACAGATTACAACTGGCCAATAAATCAATTACAGATACTCCTGATCTCCACTCTCACTGTACATAAAGCAGACCTGTCCACAGATTCAATTTCTTTCCTCTCCAACACCAAGGACAAGACCAAAAAGCCATCAAAGGAGGTCAGGGACAAGGCTGTAGACCTGCACAAGGCTGGGATGGGCTACAAAATCATCAGTAAGACCCTCGGTGAGAAGGGGACAACTGTTGGTGCCATTATTCTGAAATGGAAAAAAATATAGTGACCATCAATGGACCTCGGTCCGGAGCTCCGTGCAAGTCGTTGTGTGGTGGAGGAACCACACTACGTTGTAACAGATGGGAGGGAGTTTTTCTGGATGTTTGGTCGATATCATGTCTCTCTCCGTTGAAATGAAACTTCCACACAAATTAGAAACTGTTCATTTCTTTGTAAGTACAAAATCAGCTGCAGATCTAATAATTATTTCTCCCACTATACTGTACTGCTTGTGCTGCTGTTAAACTAACAGCTGAACATTAGAAATAAGTGAAACTTGAAACACATGTTGGTGTGTTCAGGTCTGACACAACATCCAGCATGTCAGTGGCAGAAAAAGGTAACAGACAACAACAAAGAAAATATACATTTCCTTACTTTTCTGTGCCAAGCTTAGATACCTGGAGCTGTCACCACGCCACATTCATGCAGGGTGACTTCTGCTTTGCTTTAGGTGCCGTACTGTCCCGAGCATTTTTCAGGCATAATATCAGAATCAGAATACCTTATTAATCCCTGAATTCATGTGTCAGTCATCCATAATAAACACACTGCATATCTGTGCACGTTTCTCTATCTAAAGTCAGGTTTGACCGGTTTGCTCTGACACATATTAGCTGTCTCACACAGACATGTAGAGAATCACCTTATTCCTGTCATGCTTCACTAACAGGTGAATGTCTGTTTATTTTCAGAGTTAATAAAGAATCTTGTTCCTCTCTGTCGGGATTATGGAAAGGTTTTAAGACTAATTTGAATAGTTTACATGTCTGTAAAATGCAGTTATTGGTCTTCACTGCAGTGTGGGTGAGGATTGCTTTAGCCGTTTGAAATCAGTCTTTGGTTTCTTTCTGTATGATGATGATGTGGCAAACGTATTTATTTTTTCTTCCCCTTATCATGTGGATTAAAATAGATTAAAAAAAATAACAGTTTTCCTAAAATGTATATGCAAAATTCTTTTTATGGCAAATGTTTTTCAATGTTTCGAAAAGACTGAGACACACGCTGATGCCTGCAGACTGATCCTGGAGGACATCCGTCAAAGACACAGTCTTCTGGATACTCCCCTGGGCTGAAGGATGCTTTGATCGAGGGACTACAGCTGGTGATGGAGCCAGAAGGCAGATTTTTCTTCGGCCGAGTCCCATTTTAATACTTTGCTATGGAGCATTTTAGTAATTTGCACCTCATCTTGTTGTAGTGTTGCATTAGAGATCCAGTAGCATAGTTTTTATCGCTGTGATATATTAAAGTTCAAAGAAGTGTGCATCACATGCTTTCAGTGTTGAGTCGAAATTCATGTTTGTAACTGTCCAACAATAAGAAAACAACATGGTTAGAGACGTCAAAAGTGCCTCGAACCAAAGACCTCTTTTCCTTCCATCTCCAGCTACACTTGAAAGTAATTTGTGCACCTGTGTGGTTGTTAGAAAGGCTTGTTTTCTACCAGCACCGCCGCATTCTTATTAAATGTCCTCAACTACATCTGTGATCGTTTTCACGTGCGCTCACAGAGAATGGAACAAAAGGCACCAACATCCAAAGAGGAGCAGAAGCAATGACAGGATCTGCTGTCTGTGAAGCCTTTTTAAATCTAAAGTCACATCAGTTTATCCCACCATGGGAAATAACCCCAGAAGGCCCTTTAAACAACCCGAGGTGCACCTAAAAGCACCGTGAATCGTAAATAACCATATAGGTGCGCAAAAATATTTCCAGGGTAGCCGGCGTGAACTTGGTGATTCGAAAGCGGTAAGTGGGGCTAACCGGAGGCGCTTTCACCACGCCACAAACGAAAAAACAAGTCAGATTATCAAACCGGAAATAGCCGGCGTGTTTATGGTTTATGCTTTTATAGGAGCCGGTGTACGTGGAGAAGACACGGCCATGTGCTAAGCGGTCTTATGTGGAAACAAGGTGAACGTCGTTCTGTGTAGCGCGACCAGTTTACACCTGAGAGACGAGCCTCCTGGGCGGTTGCTATGGTGATGGAGTCAGATAAACAGACTCCAGCTGTAAACCAGTGTCACCGCCCGCACGATCTGATATCGTCGTGTTGGTGTTGTTGCAGGATCAACACTGCAAGTGACCAATCAGAATGTTGTGACGTAATGCCCTGGCGACTTCTGGAAAAACCGCCGTAAAACAAAAAACTGTACTTAAGCTGCGAGAAACCGCCTCTGTCCGCCGATCAACCGGACCCTAACCCTTTAATAAACGCTAAGCAGAATTGATATTGTCCTTGCAACATTGGAATTTCATAAATGCACGAATGGCTTGGCGCACCAAAGAATAACGTCACAACAATGTGATTGGTCACTTGCAATGTTGATCCTGCAACAACATTTACTATGTTGTTCCAGGAACAACACCAGCACGACGATATCAGATCACCAGTGTAGATATCGATACAGGAGTCGTGTCCCACAAATCCCGCTCACCCCCCCAGGAAGTGATTAAAACACGCAGTGTTTAAAAAACTTTTCAACAAGTCAAACACAGTTTCAGGCTCACTCTGATCTGTTTCACCCACCCTTCACCGAGTCACGCAGGCTTTAAAGACGGAGTAAAACACTGTGATAAGAAGCGCAGGAGAAAGCTGAAGTAACACTCACCCCGCTCAGGCTCGACGTTCCTGCTTCCTGCGCCCTCACACTGCCCCATCAGCGGCTGCTTTCTCCTCCCCCTCCGTTTACAGGAAATCAGCTGGATTTCGGCAGGCGTGAGATACGGGAACTTTAAAAACTTCTGCACAAGAAACATTCCCCCCAAGACTGAAGATATTTATTAAAGAAATGTAAATCCTGCAAACAAACTTCAACACGGGATTCAAAGCTCCTGTCACGCAGGTTTTTACTGGTTTTACTTCAACCTAAAGCATCAGTGGTGAACCAGCGTGAAACATCACAAACACAGAGTCGCGATGATAATGATAGTACAGACGAACATCAGCAGGCTGTATGTTTAAAGTTACTTTAAAGGTGTGTATGACATTAAATGCGTGGAAAGGATCCACACACAGTGTTTTATCTCACCCATCCTTCGTGTCCAAACCTGACAGGTACATTTCCCCATCTTTACTTTGAGTTTCTATTTCAAGTCATGTCCTGTCTTATTTTGTAATCCTCTGTACTTTCCACATTTTCACTTCCTCTTATCTCTAACTTTGTCTCATTTTCATCACCGTCATGTCGTTCTCGCGTGTCGTGTAGGCTTGGCAGTGGTCAGATCATCTGTGAAGGTAAACATGTTTAAAATGTGAGCGAGTTGTGATGAGAGAGCTTTTATTACAGTCGAACCTTTCTTAGTTTATAGTCCTCTTCACTTCCTGAGTGACCTGACCCACAGAAACAGGCCAGTTTCACAGCATGAGCTGGTGTGCGCCTGGAAAGATGATTTCTGGGGCTTTTCCTCGCCCGGGTTGTTTGTCTCACAGACTCTCTGTCAAAGTATGCACTGGCAGCCTTACATAAACCTTCTGGGTGTCTCTTGTGTCCGGCATTTATTCCTGTTTCCTGTCATTTGCATCGCCACAGTTGGGTGGCAGGCTGAGGTATGTAGTGTTAGCAGAGGCTAATGAAGCTGCAGCAGTACTCTGGACAATCAGCACCTTCAGTGCCCCCCTGCCACATTTACATTGCTATACATAGTTTATTGTTCTAAATGTCTCACATGTTCTGTCATATTTCCAACTCTTCTCTCTGTATTTAACAACTTCTGTCTGAAATCCTTCCACAGTCTGACTCCTGGTTTGTTTTCACACCAAACTTCACCTTTATTAGCTTTTACATCCATATCTTTCTTTTCTTTACGTGACACAGAGATGAAAGAGTCGTCTCTCACTGCAGCTTATTTTTATCTGCCATCATCAACCTCATTCACATCTCTCACACGCTCAACAGTAATTATTTACAATATTAACAGAAATGCCACCCACCTGCCCTGAAGCTACTGGGATAAAACAAAAGCCATCTTCATGCTACAGACCTCTGGTCTTTTGTGTCACACATGCTCTTCCCTGTCAACTTTTGTATGTGTGATACAGGAAGTCAGAGGAAACTGACTGAAGACTTTTAGAGGAAATTTAATGGCTTCATTTATTAGCAGAGAGGAAGGAAACATGAATCTGTGTGATTACCAAACTGTGGTGATTTTAATCACATAAGGAACACTTAAGACAGATGGTTACTAATACTAATGCAAAGTAAACACATAACAGCCAAAATTTGTACAAAATAATTAGAATAATTTCACAGTAACATTAATTTGATTGATTCAGATGATCAAGACTGAAAAAAATAAACTTGCAGAGTTGATCCAGAATCCTTCAAACCACCAAAGTTTGAAGACAAAGTCCTTCCCTTACAAAATAAAGCACCTTGAAATTGTTGTTGTTAATCTGAGTACTTGACTATATGAGAATCAGTCCATTGGCACGAGCACTCTGAAAAGGGTTGGGTCCACCTCTTTGAGAACATCGAGCAGATGTCTGCAGGCGTCATTTCCTTTTCGGCTCACGGTGTCGATTATGCATCGCACTTTATTTGCTCTGCTTTTTGTCTCACATGTCCCAGACTCCATCTCTCCAGCAATTATAATTTGACGCTCGAGGAGTTTATCTACAATTTTGTCTAAACCCTCTGCAGACACTCTTTCAATAAACTCTGAGCGGATTAGCAGCAGCTTATCCTCATCTTTTTTTGTTTTGTGGTGTGCGCTGTCCTCTGGTGAGACTCGGTCCTTTTCTGGGACAAACACTAAAAAGAGACTTAAATATGATTTCAGTTGAACGTTTGTAAAATATCCTTGTAGCAGAAATTTATACAGTCATTTCTGCTGCTGCAGTGGAACTTTTACCATCACGACGCCAGGCTTCATTTCCATCTTGGTCCTTGACTATCAGAGTCACAACCTCCAGGTTTGCAGTCAGGAAAACCTCAAATGTTGGATAGTAATTCGGTCCAAGCTTGTTCCGAAACTCTGCGTGCTGAAAGCCAACAAGAATCTGCGGTTTTAATAGGGACTGATAGAAAACTGCTTATTTTATATCTGACTTTATTTTCAGGGGCATTTTATTCACGACTGTTGGCTCACGTTCGGCTGGATCTTCAGGCCCTCGGGTTCACAGTGGACACTGTAACGCTGACCGATGTGAAGCACGCAGTCTGAAGACGTCTCAATGTATGTAGCATCATTGCCTTGTTGCTTTTTAACCTCAGTGGTAGGATATAACATGATGTTAATGTTCATATGTTGATCTGTTTATCTATAGAAATCATTTATAATTATCAAGTGTTGACTAAAGTGTGGAACAAATGATGCAGTGCAGTCGGTAAACCCAGGTTTACTTTGTCAGTAGTGGGAGAGATAACTATGCAATCAACTCTGGATTGTTACTGAAGTCAAGAATAAAGCGCTGTGATTGGTCAGTGAGAGTGAGAGTCTGCAGTCGGAGAAGCTTGACTCTGTGCTTCTACTAACCAATGAATAAAGCCCAGGGTGTCTGCCCCCTACTAGAAGCATCAGAAATCTGCAGAGTGAGACCGCCTGAGTGCTCTATGCTTACCTCTGACAGATGGATTCTTTCATGCAGGAGAAACACGTTGATTTTTAGAGGCACTGTGTCTTTAAATCGCAGGAACAGCAGAACCTGGCCTGCTTCTGGGATTTTAAAGGACTTTTTAACAAAATTCCAGATAAGGCCAAAGGCAGAGAGGTGGGAGACGTTCACAATCACATGCGTGTCGGTGATCCTCATCGGTTTCAAGATGCTTATCCCATCATCAAAGACGTGCGCGACAGACAGCAGGCCATCAACACACAACGCTGTGAAGGCAAAGAGCTGCTGCACTATTTCCTGCTCGGGGATTCATCCTGCACCATTTACTTTTCAACACTTCAGGTAGTTCAAACTAATCACTGTTATCTACAAGTTAGATGCTACCCATTTATTGATGTGTGCAACAACAATCATAATAAAGTGCTTGTTTTGATACTGAACACAATTCATCTCATCATCGCAGCACGGTGCTCACCCTCCTTTGTTTCACAGTGTGGCAGGTGGAGCTGACGGACTGCGTCCTCAGAGCACGTGATGTTAAACAGCGGCCCTGCAGCTGTTTTTCCAGCTTGTTGAAGGAGGCTCTCATCCCATTGGACATTCCAGTACAGCAGCTCCGCCTTCTGAGCCATAACAAACACCAGTCTGGTCAGAGTACACTGGAACACACCTGGACCAGGACACCTGAACCTGTAGAAGATGAAACGGTTAAACTAGAATCTAAAAGAAAGAAACCAACGAGAACATCTGAAGCTTCTGTTTGAGTCCAAACTGTCACATCCACCAAAGTGAGGGGATGCTACATCTGTAACTCTGCTGCTTTGGCTCTAAAGCCAAAGCAGGTTATTAATTCTACTTGTGGTTTGGGATATCTCAGGGTTTGAGTCACATGTCACATAATTAGAACACGGTTGTGGTTAGTCATCCCGGAGGCTTCAGCCTCTTTCTGGACTGATAGTAACCTGCCATCGCTGTATTTGAGTTTTATATTATCAGAACACCTCAAATCACACAGAACCCAGATGAACCCTGTCATCTCTAACACAGCCAGGCATCTGTGGAGGCAGCTGTTACTGGAGCTGGAGGGCCAAGTGAAGGTCCTGCCTGAAGTCTGACATCATCTCTGTCTGTCACTGAGGTGAGGGACGTCACCTGTCTGATCAGTTCCTTCATCACTGATAGTGCAAACTAGAGCTGAATAACTGAGATGCAACTGTGCTGCTCCCATCAGAAACTGACGCTCCAGATGATCTTTCAGTGGAAATGATGTCTGAGTGAGATGGACAAAGGAAAACACAGAGGGAGAGAAAAGCAAAGTACACAACGTCTCATATATTAGACATCGATGGAGAGGAGGAGGTAATTTACTATGTCACACCTCCAGGTGTCTAATACAAATCAGGTCACATCAGAGCATGTGTGACATCATTCTAATGTGGAGGTGAAAGCAGTGACAGCTGTGGTTTTATTATCACCTGTGGGAGATTTGTGTGGATTCAGGTTGTACTTCAGGTGTGAAGCTTGATGGAGGCTGGAAATCAGAACAACACCAGCTGTTTAAAGCAGCAACAAACCAGTAAGTGAAGAAACTACACAACGTACACATCAGCAGTTATATGTACGTACTTTCAAAACTGGCAGTAAAATAGTGGGACTAAAAACAATGAAAACATGGAGCCATGCAGGATAAAGCTTAAAGCATCCTGATAACGTACAATTAATCAGTGTTGCAGTGCAGGTAAATTCAACACGTGGAGTTAGTTTCTGTCCTGAAGCCTCCTTCTTTGTTCCATCAGACAAAGTTTAGACTACTACCATGAAAAAGTGCCGAGATTAACAGTCATTACATGTGTAAATGATAAGGATCCGCTTGCTTTTGTCTCACCTCAATTGGCTCTATGTCATCCTCAGATAAATCAGCTAAAGGGTTTATATCCAATGTTTGTTCAGAGTCACCTGATGAGAGACAGACAGCAGAACAGTTCAGGATTCCCTGGAACACTTTTCGTCAGAGCTGACTGCAGACGTCCAAAGTGTACACTCAGAAATATTTTGCTAGAAATCAAAGCTGATTTGTGTCTGAATAATTTAATCCAGATCTGAAAACATGCTACCATTTTCAGCTGCACCACAGATAAACTTTTATAGAGCAATGTTTCCCAACCTTTGGGAGCCACAGCACATATTTCACATTAGAAAGAAATCACAAACAAAAATGTCACAAAAAGCATATTGATAGTTTTTCCCTGCACACCAGTTATAGTGGAATTTGCTTGGTTTGTCCCCAGTACACCTTCTTTGCTTCTGACCACTAATCGTGCTAGGGCTTTCATGTGGTCAGACTGCCTACTTTTTCTTTTCAGATATTTATCTATTAATATTACACGCTGCATCGTCTCACAGCATCACTCCAAGAGCATTCCTTCAGGATGTTGTCTTACCTGCCACTGCTCTACTCCCTCTACACTTCAGACTGTGTGGCCACCCAGGCTCCAACACCATTGTGAAGTTTGCTGACGACACAGTGGTGTTGGGTGCCATCTCCAACAACGATGAGGCGGCCTACATGGATGAAGTGAAGAATCTGGCATCGTGGTGCCAGGACAACCACCTCCAGCTGAACGTGGCAAGACCAAGGAGCTGGTGGTGGACTTCAGAAGGGGTCAGCACAGAGACTACAAGCCCATTATCATCAATGGAGCTCCAGTGGAGAGGGTGCAGTCCTTCAAGTATCTTGGTGTCCACATCTCCTCAGACCTGACATGGGCTGCCCACATTCAGGTCCAGACCAAAAAGGCTAGGCAGCGCCTGTATCACCTACGACAACTGAGGAAGTTCAGGGTCTCTCCAAAGATCCTCAGGATTTTCTATACAGGCGCTGTGGAGAGCATCCTCACACAGAACATGACATCGTGGTTTGGGAACAGCTGTGTGAAGGACCAAAAAGCTCTCCAGAGAGTGATCCGTACAGCAGAACGCTGCTGCAGGATTGCTCTCCCCCCACTTCAGGACACCTACACCAGGAGATGCCGGACTAGAGCAGCGCAGATACTGAAGGACCCGTCCCATCCTGGCAACAAACTGTTCCAACTTCTGCAATCTGGTAGAAGGTTCCGCATCTTCCGGGCAAGGACAGAGAGACTCAAGAGGAGCTTCTATCCCCAAATATATATATATATATATATATATATATATATATATATATAGTTAAGTATATATAGTTATAGTGATATATATATAATAATATATAATATAGATACATAATATTAGTATATAATATTATATATATATTATATTAATTAGTAATATATGAGAAGCTCCTCTTGAGGATATAATATATATATATATATTAGTGATGTTCTTCCTCTACTACCCCCCCCCCCCCATTTTAGCGTGTCAGGTTACATTTTACTGTGTGTTATACTTGTATAACTATGCATGTGACAAATAAAGAGCCTTGAACCTTGAACCATTTAATTAGAGCAAGCAGTTGTACTGCCCTCTGTAGCTGAATGTGCGTATCACTCATCTATTTTCAAAAGATAACAATAACTCTATAAGGAGAGCACTCTTCAAAGCGCACAGTCACAAAGGGGCTTCACCGGTTGGTTGAAAACACATTAAAGAGGTGTGCATATCCCAACATACAAAGTTGCACTCGTGCATTCTCAATAAATATTTGCATAGAAACATTTGCTGTGATCCAATGATGGGGTGTGCAAGAAACAGCCTGCATACTCAGTCGACCTCACGGGATGATGCAGGAAGGCTGTTTCAAAGTTTATGCGCTGAACTCGAAATATGAGAGTGGAAGTGTCAAAAGGTTCTGATGCAGTGAAGCTGCTGGGTTAGTGTCTGATATCAGCTATGAGCTTCTCCACGTCCAGCGTTTGAGTGCAGCCGGCTAAGAAAAGATATCTAGGAGGAGTTCAGGAGTCCCGAGTAGTAACCTTCTAACTATTATGATTTCTAAAACATGAAATATACCTGTTCATCATCAAATTGCAATTTTGAATTTTAAGATGTTTAAGATGTTAAAATGTTTTATGGCCTTTTTATTTAAACCTTGTAGCATTTTAGCATGTTTGAAATACATTTTTCAAATATTTTCCACACCTCCATACAACATAATTTATAGGATTTCTTTGTTAAAATAAGCACACAGTCATATACATATTTGATGCTGTTAATAAAATATTGGTGAATAGGAGACATGTCAGTACTCACAGTCGTTTTCATTGGAAGGTTCAATCATCCTGTCAACCCTGCAGATACAAACAGAAGAGTTTGAGTAGAATAATCCATCTTTGCTTGAAGCTTCAGATCAGCTTTATTAATTTTTAAAAAAAATGACATTTAAAAATTAATTTTTTTTCTCTCCAGTCAGAAAGTTCTGCACAAAGGAGATCTTTGGTTTGTTGGGTTGCTCTACAATTTTATAGGATCTTTATCTAAACACAGCAACAACAACAAATACTGAATATTTATTAAATCACATTTTTGAAATTGGTTCAGCTGAACTTAAAAATATGGACTTGAAGCTTGATTTGTCAGATCTGACCAGACTGACAAAAGACTAAAACTAAACTCATTTTCTGTTCTTGTTTTTCTTAATTTCAGGTAAAGTATTAAACAATATCATTTCAATGAGTTTTTTCTAAAGTCAACTTTTTATTTTTATTTTAGTCAAACATTTTTTACATCTACTTTCAGCTTAGTGTTATTTAACTAAAAAAAAAACTGCGACCCTCTACTGACCCCAGAGTCTCCAGTCTCCACTGTGGATTCTCCACAAGCTCAGACAGCTGCTTCAGATCCGATTCCTGCAGGTTGTTTCCTCTCAGGCGCAGCTCGCTCAGATAGGACGGGCTGGACTTTAGCGCTGAAGCCAGATACTCACAGCTGATCTCTGACAGACCACAATACTCCAGTCTAAGTAAAAAGCAAAAGATTTAAGGTTATTGTACAAACTTATTCTTGAAATCATATAGTTTTGTTTATTGTTTACTTTTATTAAACATGCCTGTGGCCACAGATTGACATGGTTTTATCCTTTTAGAGCCAACCTTTTTATCTCCAGCTTTAACAATTAAGACTCCATTATGAAGAACCACAGTGTGGGTCAGTATATCAGTCTAATGTCTGCAGGTCAGTGGAAAACAAAACTTGAAAACATGGTGACTGACCTCAGAGTTTCCAGTCTGCACTGTGGACTCTCCAGAAAACCACACAAACGCTCCACTCCTAAATCCTGCAGTTTGTAGTTGGAGCTCAGGTCCAGCTCTCTAAGAAAGGAGGGGTTGGACTTCAGAGCTGACACCAGAAATCTGCAGCTGTGTTCACACAAGCTGCAGTCCTCCAGTCTGAATAAAACAAAATACATTTGTAAGCTCAAAAGTTTCTGCTTGAAATTGTTCAGTTTTTCATCGTTCAGAGGGAGAACAGAAAAATGGTTATTAAATGAAAACAACTGCAAATGAATACCTGTCAGATAAAACTAATAAGTCATTAATTTCAAATCCTTAACCATTGTTTTTTGAAAGAATTTATTGTAGATGAAGTGTTTTTTTACATTAATATTTCTTTTTCATGCAAGTTGTAATAACTCTGATCTTAGATATAATTAATATGTCTGTGAAGGTTCTCAGTCATCCTGGTCATCGTAGCAAAGGAGCTTGCAAAGAAAAGCGTCTGGACTTCTTTAAGTTACTTGAAGACGTTTCACCTCTCATCCGAGAAGCTTCTTCAGTTCTAAGGTCAAATGGTGGAGAGTCCCAGATATAAGCCTAGTGGGAGTAACCCCCCACAGAGGGACAAAAGGACCCCCTGATGATCCTCTAATCGCCTGAGCCAAGGTGTGAAACTGGGTGTGGGTCCCAATCAGCCAGAGTTTCGGGTGAGTTCATTGTGAAACCTGGCCCCACCTTATCATGCGAATTCCTGAGATCAGATGGCCCAGGATGTGAGTGGGTTCACTGCATCTTAAGGATAAAGGACTCTTTCGAGGATGCCAATGTTCACATTTTGGACAGAGAGGACAGATGGTTTGAAAGAGGAGTGAAAGAAGCATCTATGTCCACTGTGAGCGACCATCTTTGAACAGAGGCGGGGTTTACGACACCAACTCTCTGCCATCTATAATCCAGTTTTGAGATCCTCCCCAGACGCCTTAACGCCCACTCACATCCTGGGCCATCTGACCTCAGGAATTCGCATGATAAGGTGGGGCCAGGTTTCACAATGAGCTCACCCGAAACCCTGGCTGATTGGGACCCACACCCAGTTTCACACCTTGGCTCAGGCGATTAGAGGATCATCAGGGGGTCCTTTTGTCCCTCTGTGGGGGGAAACTCCCACTAGGTTTATATCTGGGACTCTCCACCATTTGACCTTAGAACTGAAGAAGCTTCTCGGATGAGAGGTGAAACGTCTTCAAGCAACTTAAAGAAGTCCAGACGCTTTTCTTTGCAAGCTCCTTTGACTACGATGACCTGGATGACTGAGAACCTTCACAGACACTCCTTGTGTATATTTGCCTGTGGAACTAACTGTTGCATTCTGTGTGTAGATATCCCCCTTCTGGACCAGATTACGGACCCTGCATGAGTGGAGTTTTGGAGCGAGTGCGGCTGAAAAGGAGTGAGTGAGTGTGTGTGGAGGAGCTCTGGCGGTGACTGTGCTGAAGAGGAAGCGTGTGTGTGGATTGCCCCCTCTCCCTGGAGCCCTGGATCCAACTCAAAGTATAGCACTAAAGGGTGTGTTCCCTGTTGTAAATAAATTGTCTTATTTTATTTGCAAAGACCTCTGTCTGCGCGTGAGTCTGTCCAGTACTTATGACACACCTCTTGAACAAAAACATTTTTGGTTCATTTCTGGTATCTTTTGTTCATCCCACGTCTCAGTTTATTATTCT